CGATCTAGTAAAAAGTTTTTAAAAAAGCTCAAAAACAACTCATATCAATTCGTACGCTGGTTAAGAACTCGTTAAGAGATAGCTCTATAGGTACTGTTATCAGCAAACTGCTGTGGAAAAAGATCAACTCACGAAGTTATTCCACAGCTGAGTGCTGGCAAGGTGAAAGTTTGAGTCCCATTCAATGGTCCCGTCAGCCTGAAAATATGTGCCATTCTTGCGATACCATAGATCCCACTCCGTTTTTCACAGGTGGAGAAAAATGCAGTACTAAATTCGATGCAGTTCAAAATTCTGAACTACTGAGAAGGATACCTTGAGTATGACGTAATAATCCCGTTTGGCTGAGCCCATAGCCGGCCAAGTTGGATTCGTTGGCTCGCAGCTGTTTTTCGTTGGTTGCCTGGAAGAGGACCTCCTCAGTATTCCGTGTCACTGGATAAGTTTAGCTGCACCAGTCTTTTCATACAACGTTTCCATAAGACTATGCCATTGAACCAAAGCGCAAATATCGCCCTTTGGCTGGGATGGGAAATACAGCTCGATCTATGGTAAGGCGGTGGGAATAACAGGTGACGCCACATTCGTGACCAGAGACCATGTCACCGGGGTACAGCACAGGCGAACGACACCTTCCAATCCCAGGGGTCGGCGGGATAAGGAATCCTCCAGAGGATAGATAATGTTGATTGGTCCAGTGGGATGCGGCACGCATTTTAGTTCCATTCAGAATCCTAAGGGCTTATTGAATGCTGTGTGGCATAGGCAATGAATTGTAGCAGCCTGCCGATGTAGAGATCAGTGTTCTCACCCTCTCGGACGAATTTGGGACCGATTTACGGTCTCTTGGGGTAAAGGCATCTGTTAGTCTGGGCAAGAGCCAACTGGAAAAAACTCCTGCGCCGCGCAGGTGGTAAGAGTGTCACTTGCCAGCGCGCAAAAGCAAGCCCTAAATGCATAGTATGCTTGCAGGTTACACACAGAAAATCAACTTGATCAAGTTTCTAGGCATCTAATCGTTTTTAAGGAAGTACTCACCCCACACAAAAACACGAAACCACTCACCCCTTTGTGGCGAAGCGTTTGAAGTACTGGAACATTTTGTCACAGAATGGCTTGATGTCATCCCATCCACCGTCCTGCAGACACGAGGCAGGTGGGTTGTCAATGCCATATTCGAGCAGGTAAACAGGGCTCTAAACAGGAACACGCCCCAGATCTTTTACTAAGGTGAACAATTATCAGTTGTGCTGCTAGCACGTGGCAGAATCTCCTATGGACAAATGCTTCACCAAGTCTCAAGTAGGGGACTGACTTCCTGTGAATAAGAGCGGCATGCATTTGCATAGCCCGCGATAACCGCACGTGAATTTCCACGCCCCACCCCCTCCATTTTTATCATATTTATGCCAAACAACTTCTTCCTGATTGTCGTTCCCAAAGAGACTCATATATTCAACAGTAAATTCACATCACTCAGCGAGAGCGATACACGCCAAAGTACACCTAAAGGCAGCCGTTTCGCGATTACCAAAGTGTGAAAAACCCTCCAATGAAAACGAACGCGGAGTTCGCAACCATAGCGGATATCCCACTCTTGCGGCTCGAAATGTATTGATTGACGAGGGCGGAGTCAACAAGGCTGAGCTGACGCCTCCTTCCCTGTTAATCCCGCCGACTGGTTAACAGTATCTTGTGGCTTTAACGTCTCAGTCTTGCTGCTGCTAAGTTTCTGGAGTTCCGAGCCGGCGACGTGTATTGGAGAACTCACCAAAGGTCTGCGAAACTCGTCCACATGCCTTAAATTTCGTAGGGTCTTATTTCACGCTCTTCCACACCTTTTTCCTACTTTTTTTTGATTAGTGCTTCATTGGCCACCTGTTCTAACAAATTTGACCCCTGAGACCTGCCAAAGTCCATCGCGGGCGCTGTCTTAAGGCAGAGAGCCGCCTCATACACGGGTTCGTTACACGGACACCCCAGAAAATGGGGAAATTCATCCAGAGATGTCAGTGCGGTGGACGGCGGATAGAAATTGCTTAGCCGTTGGAATGACGCTGACCGTTTCAAGCGCGCCACTCGATGGCTTGCGGTGAGAAGGAGGATGGGCACGCGCGCTTCCGCTGGCCTGACTCTGTGGTTGACAGTCCCGATATACTGTGCTCTAGCGGGAACTGCGCTTCAGATGACTTGGGCTATACTTTGGGATACCAATCGATGAGCACAAAAGGCAGCAGGGTATTTCACTCTTGCTTCATTACTGAACGAATAAGACTTAGGCGTCTCCCCCACCACCCCCCGAATCTTCCATTCATTTGGAAGCGATGAATTGTTAGCAAATTCATCTGGGACGACAATCGTGACTTGTACTCCAGGTGGTACTCACAATTAATGATACAGGCTAAACCATTCGGAATGTCGCTGAGGTACTGGATGAAATGCGCGGCTTATCCCACGAAAAAGGTTCAGCACCTTCGAATGTTTTGTTTTTCGACCTTTCCAGCCGCATGGCTTGGTTAAGATACAGTACCTCCTTCCGTTTAAGCTCACTGACGAGTTGTTGGGTGGGTGCGATGAAGTCACGGTCAAGAAGAATCTGAACATTAACGATATTTGACGAATAGCAAAAATACCGTACTACTTATGAAGCTGTCACTGAACGGCATAGATACACAGAAATTATCCTAGAACGTCAACATAGCGGTAAAAGCTGGAAAAGCTCTCAAGAGGTGCAATGGAGAGTACCGGAAGACTACTGGAACAAAAGAGCAGTAGAGCATACCTTTCTCATTTGCTCGAATAAGAAGTATGTGTTCTTCTTGTCTCCTTGAGTGTAGATGTACTGATGGAGGATTTGTCGTCGCAAGAGCGGAGCGTTCCTAAATTCTAACGCATGAGTATCACGTTGGCCGACTCCGGCGCAGTTCGGCGACGAGGAGGGGGCATTTTGCACTTTTGCTACTTCCCATCGACGTGTCGACCCATCTAGAGAGCCTTTTCGTGAGTTGACAGGTTTCACCATTGTGGTTCGATGAGCTTGCTCCAGACTTCACAGGATTTCAGTAAAGTATGCAAACCGAACTAGTGGAGCAATGAAAAGCGAAATATCCCCCCCCCCTCCGTAGCCGAAATGCGCCGCCGACTCCTTCTTGTCCCACCTATTCTGTGACTCACATTTGTGGGAATCCGGCAGATAATACCTAAGAACGCAGTCACGGTTCTGTTCTAGTCGATAATAAATCATAATTACAGTCACCGTCTGCTAGCATGAACGGGTTCAATCCAGCATTTAGCCTTTCGTTTTGGTGCGCTCCTCCTCTTCTCTTAAGAAGAAGCACGCACGGATAAGGGAACATGGGCCTGGCACCGCCTAGACGTACACCGTGGAATATGCTTGGATATTCACTGACTTGACTGACTGCTGTATTTATTGCACTTTTCCAGTAAGCGAACAAGTAACTATTCCCTTCGTGAAAGCAGCACAGGACTTCAACTGCCGTGTGAGACCACAATGTCTTCAAAAGTCAAACGTAAGCATACTTTCTGCGAACCAAATTATAAGCATTCCTCTATGATTTAACCCTGCTACTTACACTTTCAGACCTCGTGTGAACTTTACCTGAATTGGCTGTCAGGTATAAGTCCAGCAAGAAATCTTTTGAAATTGATGTATTGAAACTTCTCATCGAAATTGGCATCAGTGGGATATTCTGAAAACATTTCGTTCAGCAATCATCATTCACGAAAGAAGTAGATGCCTCACCTTTCGGCAGTTGCCTAAATACACCTAAAATAGTGGGTATGGCTGGCTGCTCGTAAGATGGAGATCTGTACGCTATGCCGAACGGATAGAAAGCCTTCTGAAACTTGAATAGGCAGTTATTTAAGCATTGATGACAGAAACGAAGAAGTTCTTCCGCATTGATGCTTTCGCTCTCGTGACTGAAATTCCACTTCATTTGCATCGTAGTCTCAGTCGAATTGTAACTACATAAATACTGTGCGGGGGTCTGTTCGACGTGCAAATGAGTCGGGCCTTTCTCCTCCCAGACAAATCCATACGAATTACCGTCCACGTAGCGTCAAAGGTTGCTGGCCTTAAGCAGGAAGCTTATCACGGAATTGACGCCGAGGACCATCCGGCGCATGAGGCGTGCCACTATTTGCTGGACAGTGCCTCCGCCTCAGATAGTAAATAGATGATAAATATAGTGCAGAAGTGTGGAACAAATGAATGAATGAATGAATGAATGAATGAATGAATGAATGAATGAATGAATGAATGAATGAATGAATGAATGAATGAGTAAATAAATGACTGCAGCTTACGAGGCAGCTGAACTTTCATATCTGAAAGCATTCGACAGATTGAAAATTAAGTGTCGAAAAAGCTCAATTCAGTTTTCAAAGGAAACCATTCATTAAATTGGTCTACAATACAGTGTGATCCGCTCCGATTCCGATCATCGAAGAACATTCCACGCTCATTCTATGGGCGGAGTCAGTGGTAGCATCTCCCCAGTGGCCTTCGTCTATGAAAGCAGAGGTGCTGCAATAGGAAAGGCACAATGGTACGCCTGGACCCGTCCATGAGATGGGCGTTAAACGTGTCTGTAATTTAGAACTGATGAACAAGTGCTCGTGCATTTTCTACGTAAGAACAGGTGTTTCGCGCACTACGCGAAGTAAAGTTCACGGAATACTGGTGAAGGGCGACTTTTGGCAATCTTATTCCAAACCATTCAAAAAGTTCTGCAAAATTATTAGCGTACATTTCGAAAAGCACCCAGGCGTCTCATGAGAAGTGAACGTACCGAAACTTTATCAGCTGCCTTCTGCAGATCGGAGAGTGGCTTTGTTCTCAGGCAATCCATTGCTTGATTGTTTGATGGCAGATCGCACTGAAAGCTCTGACTCTGATCTCATCGCTCGCAGTGCATTCCAAAAAGACGTACCTCTAGTTCCGTGATCAATTTATATGTGGCTCTCTTCGCGAAATCTTCTCTCCCTATCGTTCGCGTTCTGGCGTTTCCGTTTATTAGGATCGCTCGATTGACGTCTGAAATCATTCACTTAGCTCACGGTTCTCTTAAGCGTCCATGATGGCCATGTTTGCGGAGCCCTGCCTATCCACGCATTGAAGCGGCCCACACGAAAAGCGTGGACCCCGCTCTTGCGGTAAGTGAAATATTACCTGTTCTCGATAAAGCTGAAGCAACCGTTTCAGCAGCTAACGATTCAGCCCACACTGTTATCTTTCCGATGTGAAGAACCTCGGCATTGTCTCTCAAAAACTTCACAGCATTGATCACATCACTCACTCCATGGGGAATTCCGTTGAACGACCCTGAAATGAAGGCAACAGCATATTTTGCGTGGATGAGACTCCAAGATGTACTACAGTCTCGTTTGCTGCGGACGCCGGGGCGTTTCAGGCAGTGGGAGAAGGAGGGGTAACTGGCGCGGCGCTGGTCTGTTCCCCCTTCACCTGTGAAGGCTGTCAGGCGATCACAACCGGCGAAATACTGGCTGGCGCCAACCCTACCCTACCTGAAACGCTCCGCAACGAACAAGACTGTATGCCATTTCGATAAGAACACTCTGCCCTATGATCCAGGAAAACGAAAGACCATGGCATTAAACGACCACAAACTAAATAGAATTAGATATTCTCCGAAAACTCAAACACACATGATTTTGGAACTGTTACGTTCGGAAGAAGCTAATTAAGTGCTTTGAAAAACATATGCTCACCCAGTAGTCCGCCTCTCACACCCGCAGTGACAACGTTCAACGAAGACGACGCCAACCCAGTCAATTTCGCCTCACTCAGCTTTTCATTCGAGAATATGAGGAGTGTATCAACCTGAACAAGGACTCATTTGTTCCGGTCAGCATAATACCGGTAATAACTGAAAGGATAACGGAGATTTACTCTTCCGCAGATCTCAAGCAGTGTATTCTGACAACGGTACTCGGCAAAGCAGAGTAGCAGCTTTATACACGGGCCTCACTCTTCCTATCAACACGTCCGGGTCAAGGCGTGTAGTTGATATTGTGTGTCAGGAGGCGCAGAATAATCCCACCCTCAGCTTCCTTTCCCACCGATAAGTGGATGTTTTCAGGTTGAACAGCCAGTGGTAGGGAACGCTCCAAACGTGTTCGTTCACGCCCCTGACACCGCCCCGTCGAATTGCGGCGATATCAACTGTTGTGTCGCTTATATTTGTACTTTCGCTTTTGACAAGGTAATTACCACCAAGCACATCGGATTTTCTTTAAAATAATATTTACCTTCTTGGAAGTGTCTTTATGTTGAAGCACATTGAGAAAAAGGCAGTCCTCGCTCCTCTCTGCAAAAACGACATCTGGACAACCGCGGTGCCACTCCAAATATGAACGTTTCACATCGAATTCCACCAATTCCGATTCCTCAACAGATTGATGCTATGCATGAGAGATGCTTTAGTACAACGGCTGATTGCGACAATATTAACTGCAGGTCCAGAT